TATAGTCAGTTTTGGGATCGATTAAATTGATTAAATCGGTTGATTATTGGGTTTAAAATTGATAACCGAATTAATTGAATTAACTAATCTTACAATAACTAAGGGGTCTTTCAATAATCCATACAAAATTTTTTTTAAAGGGATTAGTAAAGGTGTACAAAATTTTTTTTGAAAGGATTATTGAACAATAATTCCCCATAAAAATTTATTGAATTGATTATTAAAGTTATTTTTTGACAAAAACGCTTTCAATTTTATATGGATTATTGAAGGCATTTTTGTTTTGTCTAAAAACGTCTTCAATAATCCCCTCTAAATTTTATTGAGGGATTATTGAAGGCTTTTTTTTGTCAAAAATACCTTCAATAATCCCTCATAAATTTTTATGAGGAAATAAATGCCCCTTAAAGGGTAAATATGTATATTCCTTGACAACTAATTAAAGTTTTAATATCTTTAACATTTTAAGAAACAATGAAGAATGTGCATCAAAGCTATGGGGTTCATGTATGAAGAATGCTGTTAAAACTTAGAATGTCCTTTAATTAGCTTATTTTATGTTTTTTATGAATTTTTATATCCATTTGCCAACTCAGAGTGTCCTTAGCTTGTTTTATGTTTTGTATGAGTTGTTAGCACAATTTGTTATTTTAAAATGTTTTTTATGTTTTGCACTAAAGTTATGATTAAATACATAAAACTTAGTGAATTAAAACTCACAAATTCTTACCATAGATGATGGAATTATGAAATATATAAAACTTAGTAAACTAAAATTCAAACATCAAATAAGCATAAGTTAATAATTAAACTTTAAACATAATACATGATACAAGATAAACATCAAAAGTTTAAACCATCACAATAAAAAGTTAAATTGTTTGAACAGCTTTTCATCCACCATGATGAAAATCTTATAAGACCACAACAAATCATTTCATCATCTTTAAGCTCCATATCCTTATTCTCCTCTAACGACACTAGTCTTATAAAATAAAATAATAAAAAGAATAAATAAATCTCATAAAATAATATATTTAAAAACAATAATATAAAAAATGAATTAGTTAAAAAAGATAATATTAATTATCAAACTAGTTATTTTTTTCTCAATCTCACTCTCATCAACATCTTCGTAGAAAAATTTTCTCCTAATGAAATTGATCTTATAAATGAAATAATAAAATATTAATAAATAATATATAACAACAAAATATAATAACTAGCAATATGCTAAACTAAAAAATAAAAACTGCATAATATGCAGTATTGTACTTTTTTTTAGCCCATAACTAATTTTGATAACATGTTAAAGCTTCTATAGTTAACGGATAAAGTCTATTACGTTATGCACTCACCAACCTCCTTCCAATACTAAAAGTAGACTCTAAAGCAACAATAGAAATTTGTATGGCATAAATATCTTTAACTATAAGTTGTAAGGTCAAAAATCAAGGTCTAGTTAATTTCTACCAATTCAATATATCAAAATCCTTTTTTCCTAGTATAACTTCTTCATCTAAGTAACGATCTAACTCTGATTTCACTTTTGATTTTTTCCTTTTTTTTCTTGAAACAAAATCATCATAGTCTCCCAAATTTTCTAATTCAATAACACCACCACCATTTAAAGACAATAGGTTTGAAATAAAAGGTCTTCCTTTCTTTTTCAAAGCCAATTTTCTCTTCATACTCCTTAAGCAAATCCTGACATATTTGTACAATTTTTTTAATTTTAAATTCAACATTTTCTCTATAAATCTTTGCAAAGTAATACTCCAACAACTCTGTTTTGTACCTTAGATCTAAAATTATGGTGACACTTATTATACCATGCACATTATTCCAATATTTTTCAAAATTGCCTAACATGCTCATTGTCATACATGAAATAATTTTATTGGTATTCATAATCCATTCATTCAATGCCAATCTGATTTTGTAAATATTAAGAAAATAAAGATTTTCAGTAGCATATTTTGTGCGAAAAAACCCTTCAGTGATTTCATAAAACAATTTCAACTTCTCACAGATCTTGGTTGCAATGATCTAATTATTTTCAGTTTGCAAATATTTGAACAAAGAATCACCATGTAATTGCACACAACAAAAAAAACATTTTTATAAAACAAAGCTATTTGAAGCATCAAGTAAGTAGAGTTCTATCATGTTTTGACATCAACACATAACTTTTTTAAGGTTGGAATGTGCACTTGACGTGCTGTCTTTTTAAAATTTTTCCACCTCTTTGGTGTAGCACCTTAAAAAAAGACACTATCATGAATTCTTTCAATTCCATCTCCAATCACACTCAATCTATCTTTCACAATCAAATGCAAGATGTGTGTACAACAACATATATGAAAAAAGTTTCATAAAGCAAAAGTGCATCACAACCAATTCTATCAATTAACAACTCAATAACACTATCATTCACACTACAATTGTTTACTGTAAGTTTCCTATCAATATTTCAATCTAAGAAACATTTCATCAAACTTGAAGCAATGACCTTTTTCGTATATGGAGTTGGCAATTATTCAAACCTAATTAAACAATCGATTATTTACACTAATTTAATAATAATAATTACTTAATAAAAAATAAACACTATCAAAATAAGACAATTTAATAAAATATACCTAATGATGCATTTTTGTAAGTTACATTGATTATCAATGTAATGAGCAATGACAGTCATGTATCCTCTTTTTTGGTGATCAACAGTCCATATATCAATTGCGATAGTAATTTTCCCTTCATTAGCTTCCAACTTTGATATTGTTTTTGCCTTTTTCTCTTTAAAAATCTTTAAAATATCACTTTTTATAGTATTTTGAGAAGGCATAGCAAACAAAGGTTGGAGATTGTAAGAATACTTTTTGAATTGTACATGATCAACCATTGATAAGAGATATTCGTACATGATTATCATGTTGGCAAGCTCTCTCCTTATGACACTTTGATCAAAGAAAAAGTTTTTTAGTGTTACTTTTCCACCTACCTTCCTTTGATTAGCTACCAACACTTGTTGACGAATATCCATTTGAAATCGTTTGCTGTACCTCTCTGAATGCTTACGCAAATGACTTGTCCCATTCTTAGAAGCACCACCAAGTTTTTTCTTACAATAATTACATATTGCCTACCATTCATTATTGATATTCTTTTTTTTAAAATGTTTCCATACTTTTGACTTTAGCTTAATTGAGTTAGACCCATTATCATCAACTTCAGCACCCTTGTTAGTCACACTTAATGATGGAGTTACATTTTCATCAAATGTTGGAATGAAAGTTTGCTGAATTGGTGATTGATGTGAGGTAAAAGTAAGAGGTGTCGAGGAACACGAATTATCTCCCAAATTAGACATTTTAACTTTATTCATAAAAAAAAATTAGAGTTATTCAGTATGTTATACAGTCAAACTATATTCTTGACCAAATTTCAATATGTTATATAGTCAAGAACTAAATAATTATATTCTTGATCAAATTTCATTATGTTATATGATCAAACTTTGAACTTAAATCCTTTTCACCAATAATGACCCAAAAATCTCATGATATTTTAGTAATTCTAATAGTTCTTCTGACACAAAGTTGTATTAGACTGGTAAGGATTCAACTTCATATATTCAAATATGCAAACAACTCAAATTCAACAAGCATATACTAATATTGATCAGTATATGAAAACCTCCCTAAAAAATTTCTATAAAAATAGAGAAGAAAACGTAGGAAAAAAATATCATTTTCCCTGCAATCCCAAATTGGAAAAGCCAGATATTATGAGATAAAAAAAATTACAAATTTTCCTCAAGATAGAGCTCTGGACATAAATATCTGCTCAAATTAAAAAAAAAAAAGTTATTTTCCAACTATAAAAAAAAAGAAAGAAAGAAAAAACGTACATGATGGTTTGAAGATTTAGGGTTTCTAAGAAAGTGAAATAGCAAGGTTAAGAGAAACTAGATCTGTAAATGCCTCGAAAGCTTGACTTTCTTCTTTTTGGCCTGAATGCTTTCTTTGCTTAAATAAAAGAAATGAATGAATGAAAGCTAATGGAGGAAAAAATAAAGTGGATGAGAAAGTTTAAAGAGATCGGGAAGGAGGTAAAAAGAAATGAGAAATCCTAAAAGAAAATTACATATATATATATATATCAAGGATATTTTAGTAAATATCTTGGGTCAAGTTTCATATAAACTCGACTTGACCTAAATCCACCATTTAAAAAAATAAAATCGACTCGACCCGAAACCTTTTTTTTTCAAAAAAAAAAAATTGATCTTAAATGATCAAGTTGGATCGAAATCCGACAGTTTCTGGTTGATTTGCCATCCTTATTCAGAACCTTTAACTTTTCAAGTATTGGTCGTGTTTCATTTTTTTTTCCCATTAAAAGTACCTTTCTTTGGTTGTCTTTCTCCATTTTCCTAATCTGTAACTAATAGTTGAAAATAAAATAACAACATAAGATCATATTTGATGCATAGGTTATTGATAAGTTAGGATGAAAATAATTTTATACCATATTTGATTTATATCTAAAGAGAGAGATAAAGATTACAAGAAAAATTAATATCCTCTTGTCATAAAATTATTCAATCATTATCAAGTGAAAATGATTATTTTTAATTTATGAGATTAAACTTACAAGTCAAATTATATCCTTAAAAATTATATCAATAATTTAAATTATATAAATTTTAAGAAATGATAATTTTAACAAATACATAAATTATTCTATCCTAATCTTTGTATATATTAAATATAAAATATAATGATATTATTTAATATAATTTTAATTATAATATTATCTTATTTTATTTTACCATTATCTTGTGTCCCAAATAAGATATAAAGGTCTTGATACTGGCCATACACGTAACGGCTTACCATAAAGAAAACTAGGCCATACTTAATTTCAAACCCAATAACACCTTATCACAACATTTAGCCCAGCATCCCCGGGCGGCCTCGCTAACAAGTACTCAATTCACTCTTATCTCTGTTATCGCCGTGGGGCGGGAACTATAAGCCGCCCACCTTTCTGTTCCTCTTTTGTTCTTTATTTATTTTTCTCCTCCTTTCCAACTCTATTCTCTAAACCACGGTCTTCGTCTGTCTCCGTATATGTGTGTTATTGTGCGAGGGCATTGGCTAACGGTGGACGGGCAAAAAGTGAAATATTTTTATCTATAGTTTAAAATTTGTATATTTTGGGATCTTCAGGTTTCTGTTGTTTGGTACGTGTCCTTGTAACTTCAGGGTTTGTTGCAATTGACTTCTCCGGTGGTAGAGGAAATGAGCGGTGCCTTTAGTCTACTTGAGTCATGGCAAATCCCTTGGACCATATTTTTTTCAAGAACCTTCCAATTTTCAAGAGGTTAAGAAGCTTGCTTTTTATATGTTTCTTTTTGTAAAGATAAATACTTTCCATTATTCCCATCTTTGCTCTCCGAATGCAGGCTTTTACGAGATGCAGAGTTCAACTAAACGTCAGACCTTGTGCTTTTGTAGAAACATGCAGACTGTCACTTGTGAGGTCGTCAATGCAAGCTATGTACCCACCCCCGAAACTAAACCCAAGGTTATTTTATGCTTCTGATTTGCTGATGGCGGATTAACCATTTTAAAAGAAAATTGTTTTATAATAAGCAAAGCAGCTAATCTTTTTTTTTTTTTTTGCTACCAAATGCCCGCAATTTTGGAAAGTTGTTGAAGGCATGATACTGTCTTTCTAAAAGTTGATAAATTCTTATAACCTTTGTTTGTTTCTTGCTGGCACAAAATGTACCAATGGCTCATATATTCTTGTATCTTCTATTTTAAGGACTAAGTATGTATCTGCATGGATGTTATTGGAAATTCTTTAAGAGACGTGACATTAGTCAGTCATGTGCCCGTGAGATAAGTCACTAAACATAGAGTTTCGCAGTCCTAGTGACCGTTTGTCGTTTACATGACCGTTTCTTCATCCTATTTGTAGACTTATGTTTGGCATGACCAAGTGGTCCAATTCCATGTTTTTACTCTGTGAATTGATGGAATGGGTCTTTTCTTAATGATGTATGATAATTCTCATGTCTATGATTTATGCACATTAACAATATGATTATTTATTAAGCTGACAAAATGGATTTCTTGTTGATTTTGTATTTGATTCTAAGGATAAATCATCACCAAAAGTGGAAACTATTGGTGCATTTCAGAAGCTGCCTATGGTGATGCCATCAATTGATATGTTCCATTCTGCATTGAGGAAGGCTAAGAGGACCTTGCCTACAAAAGGTAAATGAATAAATTCATTCATCTGGTCATGTTAGATTTAGTGCAACATGTCAAACTCTTGGTCTAGCATGACAATTGTTTCCTGCCTAGGCATTGCCAACATTGCAAAGAGAGAAAGAAACAGAGGTGCAAAGCAACTTGATGCACTGATGAAAGTATGATCTTATTCCAGTGTCTGTTGTTTTTATAATAAAAGACAACTTGTGCCTTGTTCTAATGAATATATTGCTTGAATTTAATATTTTTATTTACTTGATCTTCAGGAATTGGCAGTTCCATTGAGAGGGTACATAGAAAATTTCCCCAAAAGAATGTACTTGCATCCTTATGAGCAATCTCTTATTGAATTGACACTTGGGGATGGAAATTATGAAAAGGTACTCATTAATAGCTCACTGTTGTTTTTACCCTATATATATATATATATAAATTTGCACTTTAGTTCTGTCCCAATGGAAGAGCATCTGAAAAGTAAGCAAAATGTTATCCTTGTAAGTTTTATTACTGTCCATGGAAGGTTCATTCAACCTTCCCCATTTCTTTCGGTGCCATATTAAAACATAATTATTGTCTTACCCTTGTATGTTTTTAAGCTATTACTGTATGTATAAGGTTTGTTCACCTTTTCACCCTTTCTTTCTTTCAATGCCATATTCAAACATAATTATTGTCTAACAGATCTTGAAAAAGGTAGATGCTCTAAGGAGGAAGGTGGTATCAGTCGGAAAGGAACATGCTTCACTCTGTGCCAAGGTTATAGTCTTCCCTTAAAACTATGTTTAAAGGACTTCTTTTAAGGAAAGATGGTAGGGAGGGAGTTGTGGGGAGGGGAGGGAGGCTCCTCCCTTGTATTTGATGTGGCAGTGGCATACAAATACAAATTGAAAATTTTATGCTTAATAACTAACATTATAGTATAAGTTATGTGAAGTCACTTAACTTTTTGTCTGTTTAAATCTACATCATAAGGCATGAGAAATCTAGGATGATTTTGTCTTTTTTTGAACTAAAATTGAGAAATATGACGTTCCTCTTGTTTTATGCAGTCTGAAACGTGTAATAACTTGACATTTATGTAGCATGAATTTGCCAATGTCTTCCTACTTTGGTTAATGGTGAACTAGAGTTGGAAAATTAGTGATTCTATGATTTATGGTTCTGATAGGAAATAAGATTAGAATTTCAGAATCAATTATGGGTTGAAGTAATTGCAAATTTATTTGAAAACATGGTTGAAACTCAAGTAAAAGGTTGTTGGAGATTCTATGCAGCAAGGGCTAATTGGTAAATTAGCTGTTGGGAATTTATAAGAAAGTATGGGGCTAGAATTGGGGTTGAAAATCACAAGAAATAGAATGTGATTCAAATTGCAAAGAAGAGAAGAAACTAGCATAAAGGAAGAGATGTGTGAACATCTCCCTGTAGCTAAGGGGAGAGAGAGAGAGAGAGAATGTGGTTTAAGTTGCAGATAGATCTAAAGACTACATAGATATTTATAATGAATTCCAGATTGCATGGCAAATCTAAATGATCTTCGTTCTGAGATAGTCTTTGCATATTCCTTTGGTGACAATGTTTCATGGACTGCTGAAATTTGTGCTCCTCTCCATGATCTTGGTATAGCTTTGTGATATGTTGTTTTGATGTTATGTTATATTCAAGTGCCTTACATTAGAGGCTAACTCGGTATTTCAAGCACACATTAAACACATCGATATCGATTACGGCTTTGTCTGGTAAAAAAGTTGTGCAACCGAATCTGATGTCCCCTATGTTGCTGCAATTTGTCAATTGACAATTGACAATTGGCTGATATCTATCTTCATCTGGCTTAGCTGTGGATGTTGGCTATGTGTCTAAGCTGAAGCATCTGACCTGTCAAAGAGTCTAAACAAGATATTGGTGGGGGACGTGTGTGTGAGCATATTTTTTATTGATATTTACAGATTTTTTGAGTGTTTCTTTTGAGATTTACTTGTTTTACTTCAGAAACTTTTCTTTTCTGTCTTATTTTGTTCTGACTTGTTACTGTTGGGCATATATACATACTTCGTAAAGACATGTTTGATTGTTGTTATGATTTTCCTTATATTTTGAGGGCCATACCGTTATAGCCCCATTCTCTATGACATGAAAATGAAGAAGCAAAGCAAAATTGTTTCTTTCAAATCTAATTGAAGGACCATGTGATATATATGGATTATAATCCTATACCTAGTCGGTGGAGTCTAAAAACTCTACACCAAGTTTAATAATTGTCGTGTGTCCTTGTAACTTGAAGAAGAAATTCAGTACTTGATTACTAACATTTTTAGTTAAATGGACAGATGACAAGCATATGAACCCACTTATGGAGATTTTAAACTGTAATATTGATATATGGGATTATAATCCTCTCTCTTTCTCTCTCTCTCTCTCTCTTTCTCATTATATATATGTTGTACAATTTGTATGTCTGTTGGAAAATGTAAATTGAGTATCTATTAATTTGCTTCTTTACAGTCTTTATCAAAAAAGGAAGCAGAGAAACGACTAACTGAGGCAAGTAATTACTTCTTTTAATATAGATATTTAATATTTATCGAAGTTCATGAGTACTATTAATTTAGTATATTTTCTGTTTAGTGCAGGGTTCGGAGAAACTTCAAGAAATTTTCAAATGTGAAGGAAAGGCTGTTGATGACTTATTGTCTATTGCCAAGGTATATAAGTGGAAATCTTTTAAAATATCTATTTTAGCATCAGCAAGAATTAAAAATAGAACAATCTATATTGTACAGAATGTTCATTTTTCCTAAAGAACTCATGACACACATTCAATAACTCAAACTGTGGGTGGATAGGAGGGTACGCCCCTCCAAATATGAGGAAAATTTTATGGAAAGGTAAGTATAGGGATGCATTCCCATATCTGACATTTATACCTGAGTGTGAGCAATAAGTCTTAAACTCAGTCAGATATCAAATAATACTATAAGTTTTGAGTTTCTTGATATTTAATCTTTAATTTCAATGTGTTTTTCATAATTGATGTGGTCTTTTGCCCATATAGCCATGCAGATGAGCACATTTTATAGTTATGCATGTACTTTGGAGTTGCCTGTCTGTTTTTGCATCTGTACATGTATTATTTTTGTGTAGCAGCTTTTTGCAGCTGGCAAGCCTTGTCAGATGTAAACTTCAGATGTAAACTACAGATGTGTCATCCTAGAAAATGAATTTCTTTGCTGGCATTCAGCAATTTTCTTGGGAGAATCATGCAAACTTTAACTTCTAGATGGTTTTTGTTTACATTGAAAGTACATACCATAAAATGCATCTACTAAGTATTTAAGGAAGACTTGTTCAATCAACAATGACTAAAATTTAGTTTGTTTGTAGAATTTTACATCTAGAATCATGATCTTTGCTTAGTTTTAAGTGATGATTAATGGAAATCATTGCTGCCAATTGACATTCTTTTTTGGCTATTTTAGGAATCATGGTACTCTGCCTTTGAAGTTTGGAACATTAATTTGCTATTTGCCTATGGTCATTTCCTCTCTCTTTTTTTTTTTTCCTATTTGTCGAAGGAAATACCTCCCATTGTTTTATTTTATGCTGTATTAATGGGCATATTCTTTACTGATATAGAAGCATTTTATGCTGTTTCAGCTTATTTGTAACGACTTAAGCTTGAATATCCTTAATTTTAGCAAAGCTTGAATATCCTTAATTTTAGCATTGATAAACTCATATTTTATTGCAAGTGGAATATGCAAGATAGCTTATCTTCAAATTATTTGGTTCCCAGACTTTGCGGGCCATGCCAACTGTGGATCTAGAAATGCCGACTTTGTGTCTTGTTGGAGCACCAAATGTGGGGAAGTCATCATTGGTTCGTATGCTCTCGACAGGAAAGCCTGAGGTTTGCGCAACTACTTGCAATTTTTGGTTTGCTTTCTGGTTTGAATGATATCATTGAGCTTATTATCTTATTGCTTAAAGTAGCATTGTAAATGGTCTTAATTTGATTCCTATGAAAAATAGTTTTAGCTCAAAAATGGTTCTTAATGGTAATCTGAGCGCTTTTGATATTGTGGTCTCCCTTAAGTTCAAACTATTTGTCTGTCCCAATAAATTAATATACTTTAGTGATATACAACAGTCTTAACTGAAAAAGAGAAAAATAGCAGCGAGAGAGGGAAAAAATGCTATTACTTATCCTTTCTTCTTTTGAACCCTTCAGCAAGTATTTTAATATGTTTGAATTATCTACTGTTGTCATTTTAGAAAGGACTTTAACAATTATGAACTGAGAGGGAAAGGAGTTTTAATAGTTTATCTACAGGTAAGTCCTCGTCAACATTTTAAGACCCAGACTGGCAAGTAAGCTGCTAATCTAGATTAACTGGTTCTGTTCAATGGTTGACACACCAGTTGCTGAATAGAAAACTTTCTAATTAAATTAGTCTATTATAGATTCTAGAAGACTTGTAGTTTTAAAAGTGGAAAATTTTGGTTGCCTTTTCTAGGTTCACAACTGACGGCCTCCCTTTCTTTGTCTTTCTTGTTCTCGTGGAGCCATGCTGGTGTTTTTGCCATTTCCTTTTCATGTTGTTATCTTTCTTGAGATGCTTCCTCATGCCTGTTTGGTCTATCTATTCTCTCATGCTTTGCATGATTATTGCTTAGTCTTGTATTTTTGGGGCATAAATCTACAAATTTGCTAGTTTTTTTATGAATTTCTAAGTTGGATATGCTAACTGGTAGACAAATTTCTGGGTTTGGTATTCTGATTGAAAAAAGATACGACAGGCAAGTGAGAAAAGATGATTTGTACAGGTTGAAGCATTAGCTTTCAGTTTGTTCATCTGAAATAGGCGGTATACCCAGCACAGTCTGGTATTGCCTGGTGGAAAGAATGAAACAAACCAAGGAGGATAACTGTACTGGATTTCTATAAATTTGGTATACCGTCAAGTACCATTGGTACCAAACGGTATTAACAAATATGCTTTTTATTTCTTTTTGTTGACAGTTTCCCCTTATGTCTTTCTTAGGTTTGCAACTATCCTTTTACAACAAGGGGAATTCTGATGGGTCATATTACTATAAACTTCCAGCATTTTCAGGTTAGTTTTCCTGTAAGATTTTGGGTGCCATTAGCTTGTATGTTACTTTCTATGATATTGCTTACTCAAAAGCTTAATACAGGTGACAGACACCCCTGGCCTGTTGAAGAGATCTGATGGTAATGAATTATTGAAATTTGTTAGGTTTCTTTTGCTAATTTATTGATTTTATACATTCTAAAGAATTATCTTGGTTGGTATCTGTCCCTCAATTATATTCTTGCTAACACTGCACATATGTAAGCTGGGCGGGTAGGTACAAGAGTGCATGCAAGTGGTTTCATAAACTTTTTCCTTTTTCCTTTTTCCCCTTTCTCCAAAATTTGATTTTTGATTGCCGAAGTTCACATTGACTTGATGAAATTTTGAGTTGATAGGGGGTGGTGGTTTTTCCTGGTAGTAATTGAGGAAATGATTTAGAAATATGTACCAAAACTCAAGGTCCAAAAGGTTGATACAGAAAAGGAGCATGAACAGAATGAGGGGAGCCAAACTAGCTATATTATAATTATTTTTTGGTTGTGACTGCATCATTGTTCAAAATTCTTATGTTCATGGCCCTATTTCAAGGCTATTTCTCTATAGAAATTCAAGTGATTAAAATGTTTTCTAGACGCCCAACACTTTTCTTAGCTACTAGCTGACAGCTAAACAGGTTGACTGCTTGTCTTTTAGCCTCCAGATCAGATATTGTCATCAGCATCATGTCTGCAGTTCTTATGTTTCTGAAACATTTTTTGTACCATCTTGTTTGCTTACTTGCCCTCCCCATTGCAGAAGACAGGAATAATTTGGAAAAGTTAACACTTGCTGTGCTCTCGCATTTGCCAACAGCAATTCTTTATGTTCATGATCTATCAGGAGAGTGTGGTATCTCGCCGTCTGAGCAGGTATGTCATGATCTATTTTAGCAGAAAAAAAGGTATGCCAATGTATAGTCTGAGATTTAAAATATCTGGAGCATACGTACACTGGTTTCCCCATGTATATATCTAGATTTATGTTTGCTGGTGGGACACTGTATACAAGCTTCCACCTCCTAAGTATGTATAATTCACACATCAGTTTTGTTGCATGATTTTGATTTTAGCTTACGGAAATTTTCTTCTATATATCTGGATTCTGGATTTCTGGTAAGCAATAAGAGATCTGGTTTAGCCTATGGAAACTTATGATAATTTGTTTACACTTTTCCCATTGAAAATTTTTATACACTACTGTACATTTTACATTGGATTCTGCAGTTCATGATATATAAAGAGATCAGGGAAAGGTTTGAAAATCATTTGTGGCTTGATGTTGTCTCAAAATGTGATCTGTTGCAAGAATCTCCTGTAGTCTTCATCACAGAAGATGGAGAAGCCGATCATCTTGAATTGGCAAAGTATCGGAAAATAGGCCCCAAAGGTGCGATCCGTGTATCAATAAAAAGTGAAGAGGGACTGAATGAGGTTAGTGTCAATTTTCCTTAAATCTTAACATAATTTTCATTAACAGTTTATCATATACAATTTTTAGGAGAGCAGACAGATGGGAATGAATCCTCTTGTCACTGCCCTCTCCATAGCACCGTCATTGTTGGACATGTGTGCATAATAAGGAGCATTCCTTGTTATAGCCTACAAGTTTCATTTCCCATTTGAAAATATATTATGCATCATGAAGCAAATGTTTTGAGCTAAGCTGACAAAATGGGATGAGATGAGATCTTGCAATAGTCCTTGGAATATTTCATAACACTAAGAATATGTAACCAATTCACCAACTCTAATATTCTATGATGGTTAATATTCTTGCATAATATTTTAGGTAAGTTGTTAAATGATTTAAGCAATAAGTAATGGTTATTGAGTTCTCATTGATTTGCTTTCAAATTGCTTTGTGATGTTTTCCCCTGCAGCTGACAAATAAGGTGCATGAGCTGTTGATGGCTCAGATGGGCAGGATCAGAAGTAAAAAGATCCAAGATAACATAGAAGTTGCTTAGATAAAGGGTTAATTTATCTCGACAATTTCTTGCTTATATTGAAGCTTTATAATTTGATTCTGACAGCAAATGGTTAGTTATATTGTCATTGTGAAGAAAGCAAAATGAGCACAGCCAACCTAGGAAAATGGACCATGGGACTTAATATTGCCTTCAAGTAGATTGAACTTGGAACCACCTCATTATTTTGCAGACCCAGTCTTCTGCTCTGCTGGAGGGAATTTTTTAAGAAAAAGAAAGATCACACTATAGGGGAGTAGTTATGCGAAATCTTCAAAAGAATTCAAAGTCAAAATTGTCGTTTTTCTTGAGTTTGTGTCCGTGTAAAATGATTATTCTGCAGGGATGGAGTAATACTAAACCCACCAATGGTGTTTGAAAGATAGAAATTCATTTGGGTTAATCCCTCAAATCGAAATGCCGCAATCTCTAGCCGCTCCTTTCTGGCTTTGGTTGGTTAAGTTGGCAAGTAGTTTAGTATCTTACAAAAGGTTATTGGCTTTGGTGTGAACACCTTATATGCAAACTGGTACCATGCCAAAAGAGAGAGTCTTTTAATTTATAAAAGCAATTACTATTTTGAGGATTAATTCAAGGAATCTGTTGTTGGCATGGCATCAACCCACTAACATATAACATGCAAAATCACGGCAATCTTGCAATGAAAAATATCGGTAGATGATGTAACAAGAAGAGCTTTTTCAACGGTTAATAGAATTCAAATTCAAGGTTCTATGGGATATTTTGCCTGTAAAATCATTCAATATTACTACCTGGATGATATCTCCATGATATTAGAATTTTCATCTTTGGATTGGGTACTCCAAAAGCTCCAGATGGGATACAAAAACACCTCAATACTCCCCCCCCCCCCCCCAAAAAAAAAAAAAAAACCTTAGTATCAGCTCCAAAAACCAGAAATCGTTGTTTTTAAATGACCATTCCTCTATATAATTTATAACATAGTTTCTTAAATAAATACGTCTTTAATTTTGTTCTTCTGGATTCAAATGTACTTTTTTTCCCTTTGAAAAAATGTAAAGCAAAAACAAAAGGTAACAACCAAAAATGCCTCCGTCAACTGCATTTCTAGGACCAAAACATTACAACTGCGCAAGTTTTAGCATAACTATATGGCAGTGTGCTCCATAGCAAACTTATGAGATGGCATAACGCAGTTAGTACTCATCATTTCTAGAGGTCCTTTTTAAATTCTCTAGAATACTACATTACATGGCATGGTATAATCTTTTTAGCAAATGACCTGAACTGCTTCTCATCTGACCAGCAAAAGCTATAAGTATCATGTCACTTGGGACCAAGAAATGCCTTGCCCAATTGCTTAGACAGGAGGGAGGGCTTGAATAAGTAAAATCTACCATAGCGCACAAGCAAATTGGTTATTACATACATAAACAATCATCATGTGAGCACAGATATACAAAAGAATATATGTCACAATCTATATGAACAACTTGCACCAGAAAGAAATAATGGAGCACGTAATGCTTACAACATTATCAGAGCTCTGAGAGAATTGCAGGGATGTAATGAGATAGCGCTGCCGTGAGAGACTGAAATCCATTCACTAGTTGTGTGTGGAAATCCTGGTCTTCTTCTCCGATCAATCTGAAGTGTACTCGAATTGCACGCTTGCAAACAGCCATAAATTCAAGAAGTGCAGCAATAAGTTGCTGCAGTTCCTGAGAACGCAACCTTGTGGCAGGTTCTCCTGACAAGAAGGCTGTGCAAATGGTCAGAACGCCACTATTCACCTGCATATGTGCAATGGTTTTTTAGTATGGATTTCTGATTCCACTACCATATAATTACTTTAAAGTAAAAACAGTAATGAACAAGAAATTGAAAGACATACAAAATTTGATGAGCTCACTTGAACAGCAACACTGCCTTGAAGAATTCGCTGCAGACTCTGGAGACATGGCATTTGATCTCCTTCAGAACTACAAGGTTCTTCAAGCTCATTTCGTAAGGCAGCTGTTCGAGTTTCAATCATTCCAATTGCATTCTCAACTGGAGAAAATTCAAGTGATTCGGATTTTGTCACCAATAGTCTATTGACCAGTGCAGGGAATGAGCCCTCAGTCTGAAGAACAGTCCTCCTCTTCCATTGGTCTTCCAATCCACCTTGGGTCTTGCCATTTTTTGTGAATGGAGTATCAAACAAGAAGCGGTCAAAGACACGTGCACAAACAGTTCAGGTGGAAAGAGAAAAGATTCTCTCCCTTCTGCTTCCCAAATCTTCATCTTCCATGACTGGATCAACAGCCGTTATTTGCAGGCAACAGACTCCAGGCTGCAACTCCTCTGCCTTCACTTGTCTGCAATAAGGAATAATGTGCAAAGTATGATTACCAAGCGAGAAATGGACAACATTAGATAGTCATGTTGCTCAGGAATCATATGAAGGTTGCATGCAAACAAGTGTCTGGAACTTTCTTACCTGCATTACAACACCAGCAACAGCCACAGCACACTCTGCAGCTTCAGCCCAAGACTGCATTTCTTGATGTGCATCACACAAATGCAGCAACCACATTATGTGAAGATCTGGGACAGGGGCAAATGCAATTACAAGCTTGTAAATGCTTTCTGCCGCTGCATATCTATCCATAGACATTACAGAAGCCTGTGAACAAAAAAGCAGTCATTGTTGAGATGTTAGTACAACATTAATTCATCCAGATCACAAGCAGAAAAAGAAACAGAACCAGTTCAAAGTTCCTACTGTGAAACTCAACAGTTTAAGCCACGAACAAACATAATCTTAACTGATCTTAAATTAAATTAGTTTAATCATTTAAAGGGATTGTTTGCTTTAGGTCAGCTAAAACCCATCTATGCAAGAGTTCACATTTAAACAAGCAAATCCTCAACTGCTGCAGTCCCATCCCTGCCAAAAGTGGCAGGAAAAATCTTGGCCCTTGTCGCTTAGAGAGCTAAGTTGGTATCTGTTACCCACCTTAAGGTGGGGCATGGTCCTGTCATGATGCTTAACTGCATAATTTTAAGAATTCCTTTCCTATTTGTCTGAAGGACATAGCAGTTATTAGACAGCAGAACTGTACTTTTTAAGGGACATTTCTAATATAACACAGGTTGTATGCAGACCACGCAGGAACTGCAGGCACGTATAAGATGTGAACCACAATGAGTCTCCACTGTACCTCAAACAAATTTTCTTCATAAAATTAGTCTCACAACGTTCCCCAGTAGAATCTGACAAATCTTTAGACTTACCAACAGTGCATGCTCCAGACTAGCATCAAGGGCCAGAAGAAGACTGCCGGAGAGAGATTTCACTTCTGACCAGGACCATCGGTTCTCTTCAAAATTTTCTGGAGTAACCAATAGAGCATTCTCATGAAGTCCACAGTCCTTCAAAAGACCAGAGCACTTGACTTCATCTGCCATTTCATCCAAAGATTTTTGAAGTCGCCATGCTTCACCACTTTCTTCAAGTGTCCCATCAGACTTCATTTGAGTCACTTGCATGTCAGACATTAGCTCAGACAAGGTGATAGTCAGCATGACCCTCAACCTTGCAGTCTGCATGAAGTAGAATGAACTCTGCAAGAATGAAAGAAACAATTGATGTCAGATTGAACAACAAGGAGCAGCCCAACAGACATCAGTCCTATGAATGCCAAAGAGCCTACCTTTATGAGTATCTGAAGCCCAATAACAGCTCTTTTCCTAATATTATCATTTTGAAAGACTGCAAGCCGAAGAAGATGAAGGGCAACTTGTTTTAAGAAACGATCATTCTCCCTGGCCATTAGTGTTGCCCCTTGAAGATCAAATGCATGGTTGAAGACAGGTAAGAAAGCTTTCCAGAAAGCAGTGGCTGATTTCAGGAAAAGAAGTTCATAATTATAGACGATAAAAAATCGAGTTTTTCATAATCGGTAGCAATGCTATGATGCTGCCATTGCAGAAAATTTCTCAGATATTTCCAAAACCTGAAGACTAACAGCAGCACTCAAGTTTTCTTCCCAAAGCTCCTGAAACAAACATAAAACTGAGTTACCTAAACCAAGTCCAGAACAACACCAAATAGATAATGAGAATATTATTTTCATTTTTTGAGAAGAAAATGACTTTCTGTTACAACTGTACCAGTTTTTGTCGCAAAACTGGATGCAAAGATTCTCTAAGTGCTTGGGCTGAAGCTCCAATCCTAGAAGATTGTGCCTGAGCCAGAGCTTCTCTCAAGGAACATGGTTGACTTGGGGAGCTCAGCTGAGAATTCACCCTCTGCCACAAGTAACCATTGTCAGGTGTTCCCTGAGGCTGCATTAGAGCAATCAAACAATATATAAAAATAATTTAGCATCAGTATCTATAAATTCAAGAACTTCCATTAGCAAACATACTGACTTCTAATTTATGAGCAACATATGAAAAGGACAATAATATAACTCACTCTAACTTCTTGTCTTGATGCCTCAGATAAATAATTATCAATTGCAGGAGAAAGCTTATCAGAGTATTTTGGCAAAGTAGGTCCATCACCCACAATATCACGAGAACTGCTGCCCATAAGCATGCCATCAGCTGGCCTTCTGTGCTGTAAGTACATCATGCAAAATTAGCATAACAGGAAGGATAACAAGTGAAAAAGCCTCTTCAGAAACCCATTTCCATATTACATGAGAAAAAAATCATAATCCAGCATGAAAAAAGTTCATCATGCTCAGAAGTATTGACCAGCATAGAAGAGAAAGTGTAGGATAAGGCTAGACAAATAAATTTGAAACATGCTATATGTGCTTCAGCACAAAGTTTCCTTCTCTATTAGCATATCTTCCTCAGTATCCAAATAAGACTTTTTTTTCTAATAAATTTCCACGTTTAAGGAATCAAGAATTTGTTGATAAAAAGCTGACATACTACCTTCTCCTTCATCCATCTGTCCCCCCCCCCCCACCAAAAAAAAAAAAAAAAACTCCACCGTTTGTTGTGTTCTCATTTTTACCAGAGGTCATTCGCAGATAAGGGCAAATTTTTTTTTACCTTCAACATGTATAGTAGAAATAAATTCGAAATCTCAAAATTACAAGGATATGCATGCATATACATGCATCTGCTAATGCCCATTCTAGTATATAACCTTCAAAATCTAACTGCAAATCATTTTCAGTTTAGTTGTGTTTTTTTTTTTTTTAAATCAAATTAACATACCCAGGATATTAGTTAGTATTTAATAAAGTGGGAAAAAATAGTACACCATTATGTACGTCCTTTACCCCAAAATTTTTTTGCACACAATTAAAATATCCAACTATTCTTAAAGTTATTTATTTTATAATTTGTATTAGGACAAAATTGCCAAAAGTTTGTTAGATAAGCATAGTCATGGAACACAACACAACAAAGATTTATTTATCTATTACACACACATACAATCCGGCATCATTGAGGTTTTCCGACTGATGTAATGAACCCCCTTGAAAAATGATGCCATTAATCCAATTTATACAGCCAGATGTTTTAAGCCACTCGAATGTTTCCCCCATTTTTTATGCCCAAACATAACCAAGTTCAATGGCTAAGACACCAACAACCAAGGCTGAAATTGAAAAAAAAAAGGATAATCATTGATTACGGTTAGGAAGCATAGGTAAGAAGCTAAGCGCAAAAAAATAAAACCTTAACGCCAACATGACTTTACCTAAACAAATAAATTAACGTAACCAACAAAAAATTGTGCACAATGGAAAGGAAATTGAATGCTTAGCTGTATAGCAACCTCAAAAAGAACCAGGCATTCATCCATGAGTTTGAAAAATAATCTAGTTCGAGCAATGCTTTG